TTCAATATAAGTTATACACGTATAGTCATGCAAAACACTTTCATAATAGTCATGTTATGAAAGACTAACTATAATTCCCTCCATCCTACCCTGCTCTCCCATTTATTCTATTTTCTTCTTTGACCCTGCCTCTCCTTAAAAGTGTTTGCTTCTGATTGCCCCTCCCCAAATCTGGCCTCCCTTCTATCATCCACCCCTCTCTTAATCCCTTTCCCCCTATTTTCCTGTAGGGTAAGATAGATTTCCATGCCCAATTGAGTGTGTATGTTATTACCTCCTTAAGCCAAATCTGATGAGAGTAAGATTCATTCATTCCCTCTGACTTCCCTCTTCTTCCCCTCCAATGTAAAAGCTTTTTCTTACCTCTTTTGTATGACATAATTTATCTCATTATACTTCTCCCTTTCTCTTCCTTCCTGTACAAGTGTCTACCACCCCTTAATTTTATTTTTAACATATCATTCCTTTATATTCAACTCACCCTGTTCCCTCTGTCTGTATCTATCTATCTATCTATCTATCTATCTATCTATCTATCTATCTATCTATCTATCTATCTGTCTATGTATGTATGTATGTATGTATGTATGTATCTATCTATCTATCTCTGTATCTTGTTTGTTTGTTTTTTTGGGGGGGCTCTGATGCTCTAGAATTTGAGTCATTTTTGCAGGTATTTGGAAAAGTTTCAGGGAGAGCTCAATCAAGTCACTGCTTTTACTCCACCACCTTGGCTTGGTCCTTCTGGAAAGATACTTCTTAAGGAAATAGCACTGTTTCAAGTAGTCTTTGTCCCTGTTTTCACCATATAGAAAATACATCTGGTAGCAATAGAAAAGAGGCTGGGGACTAGAATGATTGTAAGGCATCAAGTCTGATGGGGAACTGAATGTTCCTCTTATCACCTTAAGTTACCCAAAAGCCAAGCTAATATTGATCTTTAGCTCCCTGGAGCAATGAAATATTGGGTGAATTCCCCCCAAAAAAAAAACCCCAACAAAATATAGCAGATACAGTTCAGACTCTGCCAGATATTGATCCTAACAAAACTAATTATAATAACAAAAACACATTTATATAACACCTTAGAATTTACAAAAATACTCTCCTCCAGACACCCTATGACATTAGTTTTCACAACTATTGCATTTTACAAATAGTAAAACTGAGAGTCCCAGTGAGTAAATGACATAAAACTAAAATGTTTAAAAAGAAAAGTGACAACGCAAGGTTGCAGATCCAGGTCATCTAATTCCATATTCAATGTACTTACAAAACTTGAAGCTTTAGAGGGACTGCTAAGGAGTGAGCATTCCCATTTTGCTTACCCTTGGTCTAAATGCCAAACGTTACAGATTCAGGAACTCATTACTGAATTCCTAGGACTCTAATTCAACCTTATGCTATTATCGTCATTTTCATTTCAAATTTGTGTCATCTTCAAAGATTTACCTGTGGCAGTCTAAATAAAGCATGACTGTGGCATGATGGGATGGTTATATAATGTTTGACAAGAATTCTTCTCATCCATGCCACATCTGGTGAAGTACAGGACATTATTGCCCTCTCTATATTCAGCTCTCATTTTGTTATCACTTGGCAAAAAAAAAAAAAAGAGCTTCTTGTGTGTGCAAAGTGTTTTAGAGATCTTTAGCACAATAAGCCTCTTCTGTAGCATAGCAATAGCATATCTTTTTTTTTAATTGCAAGCACATACATTCAGCACAAACTGCTGTTCTCACTTTTTTCAACGCCAATTTTGCATTACTCGAGGCACATGCTTGTTTCACTGGCCTGGTTACATTTATTCTCATCTGTTACAGTGGCAATATGCCTTCCCACAAGGCATGTGCCAATTTGAGGAGCACATCAGTGCCAGATAAATTAGGTTTAGAACAGCTTTCAGAAAGGAGAACATAGGATCAGATTATTCTTATTTGAGAGGAGGATGGTTCATTTTCCACAGTGGGGATGACTTTTTTTTTCTAAATACAATCAAATGAATTATTCATTGAATCCTAATATCACCTTGAATTTCAGTTGATCTGATTAGAAATATTTCTCAAAAGATGTTATGTAGGAAATGAACATCATAATCTAAGCTACAACTTGTGTATTAGAATATTATATACGGCTATCCTGACTTTGCTGTCCTATTGCAACTTGGTTTGGGTAGAACAAAAAGTAGGTTCTAGTGGTAAAGTAGGAAGCATTATGGGTTTAGAATTAGAGGACCTGCATTTAAATATGTTATTTCACTTACTTGTATAGTCTTTAGTAAATTATTTAGTTTCTGAGACTCTCAATATGCTTCTCTGTAAAATGAGGTGTTGGACTAGATCAGAGGTAAATTCATTTGAAAATATGGTTGTATTTTATTGTTCCTTCGCTGTTTGCTTTTTAATAACTTCTTCAGATGTCTTATTAGTTAGTTCTTTAGGGTCTTTATGTCACCTCCAAAATCACTAGTCTTCATGTACTTAATCTGATTGAGGTGCTTTCCTACCCTTTTTCTCTTTAGTGAAATTTTTACATCTTCTTACATGCATATTTTCATGTCAAGTCTAAGTATGGTGGTTCTCCTTTCCTTGGTGTCAACTAATAATGATAAGAACAACAACACCAAAAATGATAATGCTGTAATTTATTTTATACTTTTTTCCCCATTTTTCTTTACCTCCTTCCATTTTCATCCTTAATTGTTATTGGGGTAACTTTGCTTATTTAGGTTTCTCACCAAAATTTCTTTAAACTGGTTTTACCTTTTGATGCTTCTTAGTTCTATGAGTTGAAATTGTTCACTGTCTTCCATTACACAATTCCACACTATTTAGTAAATGAGCCCATATTATAAACTTGTATTGTCTTTGAATATCATACCTATCTGCTTGGCAAATAACTCATGAATTTTCTATGACACTTTTTAGATTGTTTTGGTTTCCTTGTTATAGCAATTCATTTACATTAATAAAACTTCTTTGTGGAATTACTGAAACTTATATGTATGCCCTTTCTTCTAACTACAGTCTGTTGAATAACTTTTTTTATTTGGGTCAGATTTGAATCAATTCAATTATACCTCTTATCCTTTTCTCATTTTTGTTTTTCCTTCTAACTTTATTTTATAATCTTTGTCCTAGCAAGTTACTGATAGCCAATTCAAGAATGACTCTCATATTCATTGTAAGTCATTCTGAGACTGTTAAAAAAATCTATTCTGATTTAGTGAAATTATTCAAGATTCATCATATCTAAGGGTTTTTTTCCTCAGATAAAATTTTCATGATATTCAGTCATGATCCCTTATTTCCAATCCATGTTTTGCAATATGCATCTTGCCATCTTCACCTCTTCACACCTTTGCTTTGAAGCACTGAGTAATACAAATTTATTTAATTTGGAGAATCTTATCCAAGTTTTCCAGAGAATCTTTCTACCTCTTCCTTCATCCTCTGTATCAGTAGTTGTCATATAATCTGCAGTTATCCTTATGATGGTATTTTTTACAAATGCTAATTATGATCACTATAATAAAAGATGATAAAATGTCCCATACAGTATTTGTTGTGGTTGTTGTTTCTCTTGAATGCTTGATAAAATCAAATGTGTCAATTCCTTTATTTACCTCTATAAGGAGAATTGTGAGCCATCCTCCCATTTATTATAACTTCTTTTTTTGTATTATTTATGTCAATAATTTTACAATTGATACAATTCAGTTCCTCCTATAATATATCAAGTCATTCAACAGCGAACAAGGATTCCATGTTTAGAATGCCAGCAGCCAAGTTAAAACTGATAGGAAGCCTAAACTTACACTATTCCTGGCAGTGTCATCCTAGTTACCCCAGTTTTGCCACCTTCCCTGAAGAATACAAAAGGAATTGTAGAACATTGACAGTGATCACATGTTTTTATTTGTCTGTTTTATGGGTTGCCATGGCCAAAGAAGCAATTACCAAATTGCCAGGTTATGTACTTCTTTACATAGTTAGGATGGTCCTTAGAAAATCGAATTATTCCATTGCTAACATACTCAGTCAACTATAACTATGATGTCAAATTTGCCTAGTAGCATTAGATCATTAGCACACATTGTTGGTTACCCATATTTCGAGAATTTGTGTATAGACATTCATGGCCAGTGATTTTATATCTGGGTTCTTTCTTAGATTTTGTCTCATGTAACCTTCTAGGCATTGTCACTACTATTCTTCTTCTTACATTGTAAATGTTCCCTTTGGTGTCCAGTTTGGTCTACATTCATTGGAATTTGTCCTTTAACTCTAAAGTCTTTTTGATTAAATGTGCAAGATTCCAGAAAAATGCATTTTATAATTCCCATGGTAAGTTCACAACAATCTTGAGTTTATCCTTTCTATATTTTAAGTAGTGGCACATAAATTTTAAACCTGTTTTCAGACATCATCTTTTAAATCAGCTGATTACTTCTCAGATCTGTTTCTCTCTTCTGAGGCCTCTTGCCATAAAAGTCACTTAGTAAAATATTTCCCTAAGTCTTGTATGATAATATACTACATCTATTAACCACTAAGAGAGACCTGCACATACCACCTTTCTTCATGTTTTCTTTGTATGTCATGCTTAATTTTATCACATTCTATTCAAACTAGTTCATGTGGCTGGTAAACTGGAATCATATTTGAATTATTTCACTATTCGGGAGGGGTGTAGTGGACATTCTCCCAAATTCAAAGAATTGTTATATATTCAGTATAAATTATTTTTTCACTGTAGGTACTCAAAATTGTTTCATTTTGTTTTGTTTTAGTTTCAGAAATTAAAAATTATAATTCTTTTAATAAAATTATAATCAATGACAATTATTGTGTAGCAATTAAAATGTCTTATAAATAAATCACAATCAACCTAATTTGCATGCATAGTGCTACCTCATTCTTGACTTAGATTTTTAGTAACCTATCACAACTAGCATTTACTACGTCAATGGGCCATAACACATTAATGTCTTTTGTTAGGATGACCTGAAATTATCCTGCAAGATTGAAAATGGGGGCTACTGCATATTTTACTAATTAGTGGAGCCAAAAGTGAGAAAACAAAATTGGTGGTAAGTACAATAAAGCATTTTCTCCACCAGGGCTTTGATATATGCTATTGACATTATTCTAGCTTTACATGCCCTGACAAACAAAGAGTAGAAAGATCTTCTTCTTGTGTGCCACCTTAAGTTTAAATAAATGTATGAGGAATATCTGGGTAACACCAAACATTCAGGGGAAGAAGCAGCATGGTGTAGAGTATGAATCATTAATTCAAGACTTTGAATCATTGAATCTGTGACTTTGAACTCTGCCTTAGATGTTTATTAGCTATGTGATCATCAAGTCTCTAAGTCCTTCAGGGTGTCAACTTCCTCAGCTCTAATACTTCTATTAACTGCCTTTGGATTTTCAGGAAGAAAGCACTTTGAAAATATTAAGTACTATATTAACTGTGACTTTTTATTACAAGTAAAAAATTCAGACATTTGGATAGAAGGTGTTTGATTTTTTTCTTTTCTTCAGGTTGTTTTGGTGTCAAAAAAGCCATAAATTTAGAGGTGGCATTTTCAGAAACCATCTTTAAGTCAGCTGATTACTTGTCAGATTTATTCTTTTTTCCTCTGAGGTCTCTTGCCATAAAAGTTACTTAGGAAAATATTGTCCCAGCTCTTTTGCTATTACACACTAAATCTTTTAATCACTAAGAGAGAGCTTGAGTATTGGCATTGTATCTTTAAGAGGGAATAGAATCATGGAGAGAGAGTTTAACTGTCATCTGAAATGAGTTAGCTATCATGAATGAGAGAAACTTGAAAGATGTACAGAGAAAAGCCTAAGTGCATTTCTTTCTTGAGGGATTGTACGAGTCAGTATTCATGGAGAAAGTCTGAAAAGACCTTTTGAGTCAAGTGAGTTTAACTTTTATTCCATGGTGAAGACATCCTTAGAAGACATTTGAACTACCATCTGGACAAAGCTGAATGCTACGATTATGGTTGTACTGTCTGGAGAAGTCAGCAATTGCAGGACATAGTTAGAGGTGATGCTGGATATAATCTTTCTTACATTGTTGAAACATTTACATGTGTGTTTGTACTGTTTGTTATATTACTAATAAATCATATAGGCAACAAAATTAATATAATTTAAGTCTATTAGACCATAGATGGTTGATATAAGGGACAGTAACAAAAAAAGGTAAAAGCTTTTGGAAAGGGTTTTCTTTAAGTTATTTATAATCTGAGGTAAGAACATACAAACAATAGATTAATTAATCATGAAATTTTAGAATACGCTCATTGATTGATTTGGAACCTGGTAGAAAATTAAGAAAAATATAAGTAAAATATTAAACAAAGGGCAGGGTGCTTGATACATTTGTCCTATGAACCCCTGAGAGGTATTGTTTTCCCCTTGACACACACACACACACACACACACACACACACACACACACACACACACACACACACACCCCTACCTTTGTCCATTGGATTGTTACACATTTGCTAGTAAACAGTGTGGTTACTCATGAAGATTCAATCACTAAATCCTGCTAAACAAAAATAAAATTCTAACTCAGGCTTCTCTTTCTACCATCATCTTCTTCAAGAAATTTTTACTTAGGAATTGAGAAAAGTATTTCACATGGGGACACTCCATTTTAACATGTGTATTTAACTGGTTAACTTGTGGATTGATTTTTTTTTAAAGTAATCCCTTTAGTGGAAAAAAAAATTGGTGTACCAGTTTAACTTTTACTTGTTGACTACTTGCATAGAGCACAGCTAACTCAAAAGCTGACACATATTTATTAAGACAGACATTTTAAAGGATTGACATGGAAGGTTTTCAAAAGTGATTCCACCTAATGGGGTTTTCTTCCTTTGTGTTTCCTCTTCTCATTTATTTTTGTGGGACATAACACAAAATCTCTGGGTTGAGGAAACTAGAGGGCCTAATCCAGATTCATAGAGTTCTTAGAAGGCTTTGGAAAGAGAAACACATAAAATTACCATGAAATGTTGAAGTTTTTCAAATACATATTAAGAAGTAATTAGAAATTTTTTGAACTATAAATTATGAAGAAGCTTAGGAAATAAATAGTGCCCTTGGTGAAAAGAAGGTGAAAAGTAAAAAAAGAAAAGAAAAGAAAATCAGTGTCTTCAAATATTACTTCACTGGCTGATGAAATACCTATGAAAACCAAAGCTTCAATGATACAGAGACTGATTGTTGAATAAAAGTCTGTCTCCTAGTCTGATGACTGAATGTGGACTCTGCTTTTATAAAAAGAGTTGCAACTTAAGCTTTTGAGTTATAAGCTAAAATAGAGATGGTAGAATCCAATCATCTTTCTGTGGGAAGAAGCAGTACCTCAGCTTATGCCTCTATTGATACTACAGCAAGCAGAAGAAAACTATCAACCAGTGACCACAGGAAGCTATAATTGAACAACACCAACCAGAGACTACATGCAATATGAAGATACTTAGCAGATATTACATGCTTGAGACTACGCGCCATGAGAAACTGTAGGGAATAGGCCAAATGGCAGCTGCACAATAATGTCTTGAGAAGACACATCATTAGCCCTGTTGTTTCTAAAGTAAGATTTCCCAGGTCAAGTGTGACTTAGTCACAGGAATTCTTTCTTTTTGGTCTCTTCAGCACATGTACACTAGCCAAACACTATTCATATGCCCCTCCATACACGTACTCTGAGTGTGTACTCTTGAGTATAGGCTCCTTGGAAAATTGATTCTTTGATGGTCCGCGTATTTATGTGAGAATATCCTCGGCATTAATGGAGCAAAGGTTCTATTGGTATTCTTAATTTTAATTCAAATTAATATCTTTGCTTTGAAATATTGTATTATTTATTTGACTATCAAAAGTAAACACATCTACGAGGCTTTTATGAGTATAAATATGATGAGTACCTTGAAGTTGAGTAACTTGTCTGAGGGGGAGAATCCAGAGAATCAAATTATCACTGAGTTGTCAGCTGAATAAGGTGTAAAGTAGTGGCACGACATTAGGCATATAAATATAATAGGGACGATGGGTATGAAGGCAGCAGAAAGGTATAGAGTGATTTAGAAGATTTGAAGAAATAAGAGAATGCTTTCAGATAGATGGCGAGGAAAAGTTTCATCAAAGATGTGGTAACTGAGCATAGACTTGGAGGAAATAATGAAAGAAAAATACCTAAGAGAAAGAGATAAAGAAGGAATGAATTACATATATCTAGGACAGTCTGTGTGAGGTAGCAGATAAGATGGTGAGTTTGAAAAAGAATTAATATTCTGGCTTAATATATTATGATTTATTATTTCCCTCAAACAACCGATGACAATAAATAAATGCTTATGAAATCAATTTGTTGTCTAGTCAAGAGTCACAAGATCAATACCATAACACACTAGTTTCCTTCTTTGGGACTCATTTTCTTTATGTGTAAAATGAAGAAATTGTACTAGATGACCTCCAAGAATACTTTAAGCTCCAAAGACAATTATCCTGTGGCCTCATTGATCATCAAGTCCAAAGCATACCTGTATAAGAATTCTTCCTCTTTGAGGAATGTTCACCTAGACTCAGTTTAAGAATCTGGTGAAAGGGAAGCCACCACCTGTTTTCAGCCCATTCTATTTTGAACAACTTTAGTTGATAATAATCCCATGATAGTATATTGAAATTTGCAACTTCTACATTTCAATCCTTGTATATGCATAATACACACACACACACGTACGTATGTGTGTGTATATATATAATTGAATTGTATCATATCATATGTATCATATCTATATCTATCTGTATGTATGTATGTATGTGTGTATGTATTTCATTTCTTAAATTCAGTATATTTTCATGGCTCTCTTCCTGACTTTCTGAATTTTTCCATCTTTACTCAAGCTGCCTTCTCACCATGGGATGACTTTTCCTGTCTAGCCTCTTTTTACAGGTGAACTTCTGCCCAGAACCTCCACCTGAAGAGGTGTTTAGAGTAGACATGCTCTCTTCTCTCACAGATCTCTTCCCTCTCTAGACTTTTGCCCTTTGGCCAATGAAGATAGCTTCCCCTCTACCATTTTATTTTCAACTCTCTTCTTATAAATTCTGTTCCCCCATTAGAACATAAAACCCTTGATGAGATTGTTGTTCTTTTTGTTTGTATTTGTACTCCCAGTGTTTAGCAAAATGCCTGGAGAATAAGGATTTAATATGTTTAATATATCTATCACCTTTCTGTCTATACATCCGTAACTTTTATTTTCTCTCTGTTTATATTCTCCAGTCATTAACTTTGTCTCACCTAGAGTAAAATGCTCTGACAAAGTCATTTTTCTTGGAGGGTGGGGAGTGAGTTATTGATGGGAATTCCATTGAAATGTAAGTCCTCACATTTTCTGTCAGTTTGGAAAAGCTTCAGTGTGCTCCTGGCCACAGTCATTTTCGTTCAAAGACTCTAGAAGTTTGACAAAAATAACTTCTCATGATTAACTGAAATTCCCATTTCTCAGTTAGTTTCTTGGGCTTTGTGTATCGTTGACCTACAGCACTACAAAATTATGTGAGGTGCTAGATTTGTGGTTTATGGCACATACAGAGATAAGTGTAGTAGAATGCCAGGTGTTATGGAGACAGATTTTTATTTTTGTCCAGATTAATTCATCAAGACTATGTAATAAAATATAAATGGGCTCTAGTGTGCATTGGAGGAAGGGGTGCATACTCCAACAAAATCACACATCTTCAAAGTATTGAACTGTAAGCTTTGTGTGCCATCAATAACTTCAGTTGTCTGTTGTGTACTCTTTCATTATATGCATCTGAAGGCACGAATGATGTCTTTCCAATATTCTGTTTTCAATCCTTACCTATGAGGCTTAGTGCAAGGAACTTTGTGGTAATTCAGTAAATGCTGAGTGAATATGTTTATACTTTATGGCCTTTTCTTAGTTAAGAAATATCTTCAAACTTGGTAAAAGAATATTAATCTGCAGACATCTATACTTCAGTTAACTACATTCACTCAGGTGTTTATTGGATGTGTTACAATTTCATACACACTGAAATAGCAAATTGTTTTTTCTTTTATTTTTGATTTATTTTGGATATTGAAAATGAAGCAAACTTAATGTATCTTAATGAGCTCAAAATATTTCCCAAAATTCCAAGAAAATTTACATTTGTTAGAAATTATTTGTTCATTAAATAGGCATTTATTAAGTGTCAAGTACTATCAGAGCTGCTAGGCATACAAAGACAAAAACAAAAATCCCTGCCCTCAAGTAACTTATATTCTAGTGGTAGGAAACAACTTGCAAACAAATATATAATTGTGAAATGTATAGAAAACATACACATGCATATATATATATGTGTGCATGTGTGTGTGTGTGTGTGTGTGTGTATGTATGTATAAGTGATAAGAACTGTGACTTTACAAAGATTCTTTAAGCACATAGGCCAGGGCCATTGAGTCAGCCAATAGACATTTATTAAATGCTTATTACTAGCCATTCCAGGATTTTACTACAAAAAGATTTAAAAGAAACTTAGACATGGCTTGGTTCTAGATATATCTAAATATGAATAATATGATTGCCAAATGCCATAAAGGCACCCAAAGTATAATATTCACATTGAGTATGAGACAATCTTAATTTCCCCAACCATAAAACATTCAAAAGACACTCAGGACTCATGACTAGATACAAAAATGTAATGTAGTGAAAAAGCCCAAAATTCATGGCCATAGGTGGTGAGATTAGATATCCTTGACCATGATAACATGGTTCTGAACTTCCATTTGGGTGGATCATATCACCCAACCTTTTCTTTCTTTCAGATGAGGAAATTGTCTCCATCTAGAAGGTCTGGTGGCAAACAGCTGATCTTAGGAATTCTCAAAATTAGTATTACACATTGGGCAAACATTACGGCTAGAAAGTCCACTCTAAGAAACTTTAGTCTAACCTTGTCCAGAAAAGTTTGTAGAAAGGCAGATGAAAAGTAGTTAGCAACTGGAGGTCCAGGAATTCAAACCACCTGAATAGAATATACTCCTCACTATATGCTTCTCCTGCAGGTTGTCATTTTCTGCACTTGCAATGTGGGGACAGTATACACTCCCATTTTATGCAACCCAGTTAAGGAGTTCAACAAAGAGAAAGCATGTGCAAAAAGGGCTGAGATATTTCACTGCTATATTTTGTTGACCATGGAGAAAGGGCAACATTTCTGACAAGAGACTATGCTCCTGACTATTAGTCACCACTCATATTGGAAACAGTTCAAGCCATTGGAACTAATCAAAGGAGTCACCTTGTCTTCTCAGTAAGTTGCTAAACCTCTTTATCTCTTTTGATAATATACTTTTGACTTTATCAGTGTAATCTCATTGAATTGATAAGGGGCTTCATGGAATAACTCCCCTTGTATGGAATATATGTGTGTGTGTGTGTGTGTGTGTGTGTGTGTGTGTGTGTACATACATATACAAAGCAAATAAAAATAACTGGGGAGAAAGCTATTGGACCTGGGATATAAGGATAGATCTGGTATAGGAGAGTGTAGTTAATTGAGATTTGGAAAAGTGTAGGAATTCCATGAGGCAGAAAGGAAGTAGTAGTTCATTTCAGGAATGAAGGTAGCTTTTGAAAAGGCAGATAGATGAAAGATGGAAATAGCAAATAGGCCACTTTGTTTAGAACAAAAAAAATGCATAAAATGGAATAATACATAATAAGTCTGGACAAGTAGATTGGAACCAAATTCTATGTGTTTTGTTTTTTTTTTTTAATGACAAGCCACAAAGTTCATATTTTATTTTTAAGCCAGTAGGGAGCCACTAAAATTTCTTGGATAATAGATGGGTGACCAGTAAAGTCTGTCCTGTCCTTTGGGACACACACACACACACACACACACACACACACAGCTGGAAGCAGTGATTCAACAGCAGTGATTATTCTTTAAGAGACAGCCCCTACAGACCAAAGCAAAGTCTATAATACAAATAATTATATGAACTTCAGATTGTTAGATTTCGACTGCAATGTCCATGAAACATCTGTTCATTGGACTCAGTCCTCCCCATCCCCATCCACCTTTTCATTCAGATATTTTGATAAGGACTACAGTTGGATTCCCATACATAGCTTCTCCATTAAAGTGCACATTCATTTCATTTGAACTATTCTGTCTTCAAAATTTCTTTACATGTCCTGAGAATAACATTGATACATGGTGAATTAAAAGAAAAACCTGGTTCCTTAAATAACTATAATGAAATAAACTAAAGATGTGAATTTTGTTCTCTAATCATGTCTTTAAATTTTATTAGCCTTAATTTGTTAAATCTGTCATAAAATGAAAAGGAAACTTCATTATTCTTTTGTGGGTTTTTTTTCCCCTGACTTTGCTAAAACTCAGTGTCACAGGGGTTTGGGATAATAATCTCATTGTTGGGTTGAAATGTTTTATATGAATATAGCAGTTAGGGTACTCCCTATACTTGCTTTTAGAAATTAAAAGTGCAATCTCATCATGATGCTAATTTACCTACTGACCACAGTAATTAGATTGGTGGTATTTTCATTTAGAATAAATAAAGAATGCCTATATTAACTTCTGGTTGAAAATACTTGTCCTTTCATTGTTATTTATTTGGCTATTTAGTGTAATAGAATTGATAAGGTCAGTTCATTTATATTCTTGTAATCATCACCCTTCTAAAAAACTCCAAAATAAAGTAAGATTAGATCACTGACACCAAAAGTGGTGTTGCTTCATTTCACAAGCTCAATCTTAAACAAATTAAAAAATAATGTAAGTTGGATATAATGATTATAAACCAAAAGTAATATACACAGAGAGTTTATTGGGGATCTCCAAATAGATGAAATCATAAACCTTTAAAGCAAATGTAATAGAGTGCATATTTAGATTAGAGCAACCAAATGTGGGTAAAAGAAATTGTTTTATTACTATAAAGAGGTGGGGCTATTAGAAAAGATGGATGATCAAACATGGAAGTTATAGACAGATCTTAGAATGGAAGATTGAAAAGTATTCTGTGTATAGGCAGCTGGTGGCCGGTGGAAAGAGCACTGGGTCTGGAGTCAGGAAGACCTGAGTTCAGATCCATCTCAAATGCTTACCAGCTGTGTAACACTGGGCAAGTCACTCTGATAACCTCAGTTTCCTGGGTCTATAAAATGGAGATACTAATAGAACTTACCTCTCAGGGATGTTTTGAGGATTTAATGAGGTAATAATTGTAATGTACTTAAAACAGTACCTGGCACATAGGAAGCACTATATAAATGTTAGTTGTTGTTGTTGTTATTGCTGTGGTTGCTGCTGCTGCAGTTGTGATCTTGCAGGGTGGTTGTGAGTACCAAAGGAGATTGTATTTGTAAAATTTCTTAACACAGCATCTCGCACATAGTAGGTACTATATAATGGTTTCCGTCTCCTGCATACCATAATACAGGCAGCCTTTAATGGATCCATGGTTTTACTGTTGGGGTTATTCTTTCTATTGGTACTGATTGAAGCCCCTCTAAACATTTTTTTTCAGTTTTGATATGAGTTTAAATGAATTCAATATAGACAATCTGTCCAGTGGGCTGGAAACCTTTCTCTCATTCTGTTTCAGCCAACCCATCAATCAGCATTTATTAAGCAACTATTATGTTCAAGGCGCTGTGCTAAGCACAGAGGATACAAAGAAAAGTGAAAGACCCTACATTCAAAGAGCTTACAGTCTAAAGTGGAAGGTAATATGGAAATGACAATATGGAAACAATCTATGGCCAAGATAATTTGGAGATAATCAACAGAGGGAAGGCACTAGCATTAAGGGGAATCCAGAAAAGTATGTAAGGTGGGCTTTTATCTGGTAATTGAAGGAATCCAGGGAAGCCAGTGGCAGACATGAGAGGGAGAACTTTGCAGGGCATGGAGAATAGCAGCTAAAATGTCTTGAGGCGGGAGAGGGTGGAGAACATTAAGTAGACCATTCTCTTGAAGTCACATAGTAAGTGGGGGCTGGGGTAAAGAAGAGTGAGATGAAAGAATACTGGAAACGTAGGATGGGTTAAACCTTGGGAAAAGTTTTCTTGGGGATTGTCAATAATGCATTCAAGTTGTCATTCAGTCATCTCTCATTCTCCTTCAGTAACCAGCCCCAGCATGAAACTGTTTAAGATCATTAACAGGAGAGCACACTTTTTCAAAAGCATTACAGATGAGGCAGCTAGGTGGTGCAGCGGATAGAGTGCCAACCTTGGAGTCAGGAGGACCTGCGTTCAATTCCCACCTCAGACCAAACACTTGACACTTACAAGCTGTGTGACCCTGGACAAGTCACTTAACCCCAAGTGTCAAAAAACCAAACAAAAGCCTTAGTTTCCTCAGTTCCAGAAAAATCTGATTTTCCATCTGTAGTGCTTGATACACACACAAAACTACATAGATAGAGATGATAAAATCAATAGCTAAAATATTGGGACACATTATATAGGATATGATGTATTATATATGTATATAATGTAGTATATATGTACATGTACACATATGTATATACACATACTTCTATCTCAGATCATCCATTATCCAGTAAATTATACTTTACTTTTCTAGTAGTTCCTCCTTTTTTATTGTGATAAAACAATTGCTTTCATTCATATTTTGGTGCTCTAATATAAATGTTCACTCTATTACGTTTGCTTTAAAGGTTAAATAGTTTATGATTTCATTTACAGATGTATTTGGAACTCCCCAGTAATCTCTTCATCTAGTACTTTCAGTTGATAGTTATCATACCCAAATTATATTATTTTTTTAAAAATTAAGTTGAAGCTTATGAAATGGAATATACATGTAGTTGTGTATATATATATATATATATACACACACATATATATACATATATATGTAGTGTGTGTATGCACATGTGTGTATCTCATATCCTATATTATATATCTCAACATGTTATATATTAATTGTAGTATATATTATATATATATACATATATATATATACATGATGCAATGGATATAATATATAAGTATTAGATATATCATAACCAATATTATTTGTGGATATACATTGTACATTCAAGTGGATATATGACACAATTGCATATGTATGTATAGATATATGATACAATGGGTATCCACACATATGTCATATCCTATATTATATATCCCAATATATCATATATTGATTGTATCATATATCCCAATACATAGAGGATTAAAAAAAAACCCAGATAATCTTTTTTAAAAGATGTAAGTTTAAAAAATCAACAAGCTATAGTAAATGTATTTTTTATAGCTTTAGATCCACAGAGATAGCTGTAAGTATATAGGCACTAGGTAGAAGATCCATTTGGAAAAACCCAGTCTAAGAATGCAGCATGAGAAAGTCTTCCTAAAGCATGGAACAGACTTGAACAAGGGACACCTGGAACCATCAACTATGTTTTTCTGACCCTAGATTCATGTCAGGAGTCTGAAAAGCTGAAAATGGAAGAGTAGACCATAACTTAGAAATCAGAAAGTTTGTAGCTCTCTCTCCTGAGCTCACTCTAAGATCCTAGAAAAATCATTGTGTTTAATATCCAGAGGAAATAGTGGTGGGAACTAACATAATACAGCTAAATCATTTCCAATATTTCCTAATGAAAAGAGCAGAGATTTCTTTCTTTATTATTTTCCACTTGGTCTTTTTCTCTTTCATCAAAAAGAAAATAGATACATGTATGAATGTGTGTGTGTGTGTGCGCATGCACATGTGCATATAGATATATAATCTATATATCTACACACACACACACATATATACATAGAGGGGTTACTTTCCATATATAGATTTGTATAGATAGATAGATAGACAGAGATATAGTAATAAATTTATATCAAGGATTCTGAGAATAGATTTTGCACCTCTTATAAGAAAGGTAAGAAGAGTTTAAGAAAGAAAGAACAATAGAACTTTTGGGGTGAAAAGAACATAATAATAAGAAAATAATAATAAATAAAAATTAAATAATAGTGAATTATAAAAAGTATAAATTTATATATAAATTTTTATATAAGTTACAAAAATAACATGAGAATATATATATATATATATATACATACACATACATATGAATGTACAGATATATAGAGTTATATTTAGCTCTCATTCTTTCTATATATGTAAACATGTATGACTTATCTATCTATCTATCTATCTACCTACCCATCTACCTATCTTCCCCTCTAACCTCCTAATTGTAATGTATATGAAATTACTTTCTGCTTTTACAATTTTAT